GCTGATGAACCTTCATAGCGCCTTCATGTCTTCAGTACGGTCGTATTAGGCACCTACCTCCTTGGTGCTGTCACGGCATGACCTTCAGCAGATGACTTCAGAAATGTGTGTTAGTACAATGTTAACTGAAGGTCATTGGTCCAACCACCTTGCCCCACAGCAGAGGAGGCATTTTCCATCAGAAACACAATAACAACAGTAGGTCCTGGCGTAACAACCAGTACCTTCCCTAGTTTCTCAGCAGCGTCTGGTGTCAGACATAGAATGTCTCTCCAGGGACACTGGGCTGACCTGACCAACGTGTGAGCATGTTGCACACACAGCTGTCTGCCCTGCCTTCAGGCGCGACGTCCAGGCCAGGGTCACACCATCACAGTCACCATCGGAAACACCCACACGGTTCCCACAGTCACAGTGGGGGTGGCACGACTTTGGTTGAGGAACACATTTATGCTTCACCTCAATAGATGTCGACAACTTCACATCCTGTCCTGTCCTTTTTGAAACAACCCCAAGGTATTAAAGTTATTAAAGGCCATGTCTTTCTTTTGATGATTTAAAAAGAGGTGTCTCACTGGGCCTCTAATTGCTGTTAAGATTTTGTGAAAGATATTGGGGGAATGTAACTATATATCTTTTGAAAAGAAAAACAAACAAATAAATACCTAACAACAAACAAACATTACTCGTCTTTGCCCTGATGGAAAATACAAACTTGACTAGGGCAGAGAGGAGAGTCATGGCTTCATGATGAGCAGGAGGCGTCCCCTGCAGAGTTCCATCCTCCCGCACCTCAGGGAGGCTGGCGGTTATGAAGGGCTAGCGACAGGCTGCCTACCTCTGAGCGCGGATGGAGGAGCTCATGATGTCAGCCCACACATCTTTCAGGGCCTGGAGCTGCGTCTGAATTGCCTTCTGCCCTTCTCGGTTGCTGCTCCTCAATGCCTGCTCCCCTTTGCCAATGGCCATATTCAACTTAACTTCCCCCTCACCTTTCATCAGGAGAATTTCCTGGAAAGGAAAAATGGAGAGTGGATATGCAAACAAACCCAAACCGATGTTTGAAAGCGATTTTTTTCCTGTTTTTTTTTTTAATCCCCCTGATTATATAATGATTTATTTGGAAGAATCAGAGGAGGGAAAAAGAAAAAGAAAGAAAAGAAAAAGGAATCCATCAATTTGACATCCAGGAGAAATACTCCTAATGTGTCACGTTCTTCCTGATAGAAACCCTTGGCTGTCAGGCAGGTTCTGACTCATCGTGGCCAGAGTGGACCTGGCCCATTAGGTTTGCAAGACTGTAATCCTCTATGGAAATAGACTGCCACATCTATCGCTCGCCGAGTGGCTGGTGGGTTTGAACCGCCAAACTTTCAGTTAGTAGTCAAATACTTTACCACTTTGCCATCAGCATGTTCAACTCTTTCCACATAAACCAAAACCCAGATTGTTACCATTAAGTCTGCTTTCTATAGCGTTTCTGAGGCTGTGAATCTTTATCAGAGAAGACAGCCTCATCTTTCTTGTGAGGAGCAGTTGGTTATTTTGAACCGACAACCTTTCATTCAGCTGGTCCAATGCCTACTTGACATCACCATTAGGACATCCTCTTCACACATCAAATACCAAAATCAAATTCACTGCCATCAAGTCAATTCCCTACAGGACAGCCTAGAACTGCTTTCATCGTTTCAGAGACTGTAACTCTTTAATAGAGTACAAAGCCTCGTCTTTCTACCACAGAGTGGCTGGTGGTTTTGAACTGCTGACCTCGAGGTTACCAGCCCAATTTGCCACCACTACACCACCAGGACTCCTCTTCCCACATGAAACTCACTGTCATCGAGTCGATGCCGACTCATGTGACCCTATAGGGCAGGATAGAACTGCCCCTGTGAGTTTCTGAGATTGTAACTATTGCCAGGAGTAAAAGGCCCAGTCTTTCTCCCAAGGAGAGGCTGGTGGTTTGGAACTGCTGACTTTGAAGATCCCACCCAATGGGGAACCACTACGCCACCCAGGACTCCTCCTTCTCACACATCAGCAGGAGAAATCCGTCAGACCCGCATGTCTGGCCGGGGCCGCACATACCTGTATTTGTATCAGCCGCTTGTCCAGCGTGTCCTTGCTGCCCACAGTGCTCTCGGCACCGGCCAGTCTGTCCTGGATGTCCTTCCCCCAGGACCACATGCCCTGCAGCGCTTCTTCCAGGGCCTCATGCTCCTGCAGGGCCACCTGGCAGCTCCGGAGCTTCTCTTTGGTCGTTCTGAGCAAATTCTGGTAGCTGGCGAGGAGCTGGGTGCACAGACGCCCTTCCTGCCCTGCCCCATGGCCTTCCTCACTGAGAAGCTGCCCCCGCTGCGACAGCTTGTCCAGGGACTCTCTACGGAAAACAGAGGCATGGCTTAATGGGCACAGAGTCTGATTTCAGATAGATTTGTCCATTAATTTAATAGAGGCTTGCAATTATCAAAGGGAGGCCTGGCAATCCTTTCTTCCTGTTCAATCTCAACAAAGGAAGGTGGCCATTTGGAATAGCTTGAAACAAACTATGATAACTACGGAGAAAGAATCCCTGGTGGCAGAGTGGGTTCGGCGTTGGGCTGCGAACGACAAGGTTGGCTGATGAAACCCACCAGGAGTGCCGCAGAAGACAAGTGAGGCTGTCTGCTAGTGCCGAGACTGACAGCCGCAGAAGCCCAGGGAGCAGCTCTTTCTCATCTAGGGTCGCTGCGAGTTGGTACAGACGCAATGGCTAAACTAAAACGAAATGCATGCTATCCAGTCAATTCTGACTCATAGTGACCCCGTAAGAGAGGGTAGAACTGCCCCTGTGAGTTTATGAGACGGTAAGCCTTTATAAGACTAGCAAGCGCCATCTTTCTCCCCTGGAATGGCTGGTGGTTTCAAATGTCTGGCCCCGGGGCAGTAGGGATGGATTTTGTTTAGTTTTGTTGGGCAGTAGCAAGTGGGAGAAGCACAGCATATTCCGGTTGGGAGGACAAGCAGCCAGTTGGAAGGGAACTGAGCGGGAGTCAAACACACCTGAGCCCTCTAAGCCCTCACTCCTCTCATGCCAGGACGGCCTGCGAGACATCAGAGTCCCAAACTGCAGCCACTAGAGGAAGGGTCAGACCTACAGAAGCACGTGGCATGTGCCAAGAAAGGGGCTCGAGCCGTGCTCTCAGATGGCATGGGGTGTCGTAATGCAGGAAAAGTACAGGAGCCCTGCTAGCATCGGGATTATGCATTGGGCAGCTACTTGCAAGGTTAGCTGTTCAAAACCACCAGCTGCTCTGTGGGAGAAAGACGAGGCTGCCTACGCCCATAAACCCACAGGGGCAGCTCGACCCACCCT